TGTGTTCTGAAAAATTCCCAAACTCCTTTTCCTTGTGCAATCAAGTACATTGTTCAGATATTAGATATAAGAATGCCACTAACCTCACTATGTGTTCTTTAAGCAACTGTTGTAAGATTGTAAATGTACTTTCCATCTCATCCTTGTCTTATGAGTATATGACTTAGATAGGCTGATAATAATACTGTAAAAGATGCCTGGTTTTCCACATATCAATCTTGTGGGCAAAGCACAAAAGTGGTTTAGGCCTGACATCACTTTTAGGCAATATCAGGGGTGTCCAACCTGTGGGCTTCAGCTCTCAGAATTCCCTAGCCAGCATAGATACCTCTGGGTTATATTAATGGTTCATACATAGTACAAAGATTTGTGCCCAAATGATGTGTATTTAATTGACTTTTTTCATTTTTTTTGAAGATTAACTTCTTGGCAACTGATGGCAGGAAAGAATCTGGAAAATATATGCTATACTAATAGGTTACCAGGTCTGGGATGCAAAAATCCAGATAACTATTAACCAAGCATTATAGAGATATTGAAGTTACTGTTTGACTATATAGAGTGGTAATTTGGATTCTTGTAACACATACCTGGTAGCTTCATAGCCGACAACTAGGGTTTCCTATCCCAGTGTCCTCATGTGGTACCTTTCAGAAGTCTGTTACAGAAATTTCTAGAATGTTCAAAGGCTTCCCAAGAATGTGGCCTATATTTTTGTTTGCATTATACAATTGGTTGCTATGAGTTTATTGATAAACCCGTAAATCCAATATTGGAAAACTTGAGAAATAGAAAAGAATTCTTCCCTTCCTAGATGTCTTGGTATACAAAAAATCCAATGGCTCCCTTGGACACACCATCTACTAGAAGAAAACACATACAAACCGCTATCTACACACACTCTCACACCACCACCCAGCACAGATCAATTCCGTAGCCGAGACACTCATCTCCAGAACAAAATGCTTAGCCGATGAACAACACCTAAAAACCGAACTACACACTCTCACCAACGTACTAACAGCCAATGGATTCCAAAGAAAGAAGATTACCCACCTAATCCAAAAAGAAACCCCAACCAAAATCCAAGACAGAGAACAAGAGAACGGCAAATCCCTCCTCCCATATATAAAAGGCACTACAGACAAAATCAGCAAGATCCTCCAAAAACACAACATTAAAACAGCATTCTGCACAAACAGAAAAATATCCACCATCCTAAGAAACCCTAAAGACAAAATTGAGTTAGAAAACCAAGGAGTATACGAAATCCCTTGCACCGCCTGCCCCACCACATACATTGGACAAACTAACAGAAGAATAAGTGCATGCATTGAAGAACATAAGAACTCAATCAAAAAAGAAGAACCGACCTCTTCCCTGGTCCAACACCTCAAAGCCACAGGACATGAGACTGACTTTAAAAATACCAGAACTATTGCCAAAACCGAACACTTCAACAACAGAATAATCAGAGAAGCCATAGAGATAGAAAAACGCCCACACAGCATGAATAAAAGAGACGACACCTCCCGCCTACCAGCCATTTGGAAACCCACCCTCATGAACAGACGAGTACCTAACATGAAGAATGACACCAGACCCACACCCACGAGGGCCACACAAGATGCCACCACCACACTTCCACGTAAAAAGCAGACTCACACCCACACAGAAGATGAGACACGACCACGGACCAGAAGCCGCATTGCAGCTGCATCACTACCCACTTCAAACCCCTCCGAGCCATACATGAAGCGAACTGACCCCCACCATGAAGATGCGGCACGACCACGAACTCGAAGCCAAACAGCAAGATCACAGCTAACCAGCTCAAATCCCCCAGCAACTAAGACTAACCTGAGCACAACCAAGCCCCCACCTGAACAGAACACACCTCCAGCCTATCAGAACACGGCCAGCCCCCCAACCAATCAGAACACAGCCAAATCCCCAACCAATGAGAACACACCCACACCCAATCACAACACAGCCAAGCCCCCACCCAATCAAGTCACACCCCCACTAGCAGTTAAAAGGAAGAAGCAGCTGCAAGCTCACATCACTCTGAGAAGCACAGAGCTGAAGACACAAGCCTGAAGATGATGAATGAGACTTCATCGAAACGTTGCCTAGATACTTCCAATCTTACGCGGGAGAAAACCCGAATAACCAAAGATCCATAGAAAAGAATATTTATAGTTCAGGGTTGAATTGTGGGGTCCTAAGCTCAGAGAGCACCAAGGACCCCACAATCTTGAGAAAACTTATTCAGCATTGTTTTGCAGGTATTCTTCTCCTGTTTGGCTATCTTCATGAGAACCTTCATAAGAAGGTTGGAACTAAGAATCTTGTGAGGGAAGAGAACATTGTTTTATTCCATTTACCCAACCTTCTGGCAAAGATTTAAAAATAAATGTGCTAGCCAGGTTTGTGGACAGTTTAATGATCGGAAACTAAAACAACAAAGCTTTTCCTGGGTTGAAACTCTTCACAATGTATGAGTCTGCAGGAGGCAGAATGACTAAAATAGATTAGAAGTGAAGCCAGAAGGAAATATAAAAGAGCTCATTTCCTTTTTCAGAAAAAAGGGAACACAAATAATTTCATGGACATGTTAAATTTAAACTTTGTTCTTCCTATTTTGGACTATGAGTGCAAATTGAGGTAGTTGTTCTACCTTGAATATTTACAATTCACAGCAATATGGGTTTGAACTTTGAATAATTCATTAATTCCGAGCAGCTGATGTCCATAGGCATTAACCATGTTAATTTATAGCTATGCTAGTTTGAGATGGGAGTAAAGATCAACCCCAAAAAGAAAGTAACATTACCAAGTAATGTTAAAAGTAACATTTTTTACATGTTGTTGGCAAATTATTCATTTAAATACACAAGGATTATATGGTTAAATAATTTTATTCTTTGAAATAAACAAATAAAAAACTACCTAATGATCAATTAGAGTGATAAAAGAATACTGATAACATTAAAGAAACAATTGACAAACATCCTCTAAAATGAATACAATAATGTCATAGTACATCAAAATGTTAAGTCAAGTTTAACGAGGTTTTATCATACTACATGATACTAACACAAATCCAAAGTTGAATATAAGCCATGTAATTTTCCATATTGTATACATAAGGAATCACAATTTATTTTCTCTCTCATATATACACAAATACAAACACAACAAGACCTATCATCTGATTCACAAATCAGAAGAAGCCTTTTTGGTGGGACTTAATTTTATAAGTCTTAAAAATGTACCCAGCATCACAGATTCTTCCATGTATCCTTTTGTTCGACTACTTTTGAGAAGTACAAGTTATATGTTTGTAAGGCATAGGATTATACATTCATCATTAAAATGTGAGACATCATTAATGTTTAAATTTGAAATGTCAAAAAAGAACAGTCAAAATATATCCATGGCATCTCAAGCAAAGAAGGCAATACTAATTTTGTCTAAGAAAATAGTACTGCAAAATGTGATGCTCCAAATATTGGCTATAGGTAAAAATGGGTATTTCTCATCATATATAATGAGTTATAAGTAATAGTAGACTGAAGCCATTTTTCTTTAAACATGATCAGCTATACAGGAAATCCTTTCGTTTCACGTCCTAATTCTTTTACAAGGCACTGTATGGCTTTCACCAGAAAATCCATTTTCATGTCTGCAGATGGTACCATTAATTGGACTGATGTTTTCATTGTTGAATTCTAACTGGGAACTCCCACCAGTAGGCAACTGAAAGAAATGAGTAATTTGAGAAACAAGCAGATACTGACTTCAACAAATATTTGATCTACTCAGAACAGCCAGAACTATTTCTCATTCCTGCTTTTCACTCATGCAGTTCCAAGGGAGGAATGCAATTTGGCTTGACTGCATTGGATGAATGAGCTGATCAATATATTGATATTCAGAGTTTGTATCTCTTCAAATATTGCAGGGTTGTTCTTGTATGTGTGTGTATATACAGTATATACAGTGTATAAACATTACACATGCACATACAAATACATATCAGAACTCATGTTATATAGAAAATATAATTATAAAATTGAGTTTTTGAGAGGAGAGAAGGCAAGAAAACATACAGTATTTCAAGATATTTTTGTCGATTTTTATTTGTGAATTGATGGACTAATGTGTTGGAATGACTAATGAGAATATATATGAGAAAGTGACACAGACTGGAAATATTCGCTCCAATATTAGTGACTGTACATGTATTACCGTAATTATGTTAAAAAAAAGCAAATTTGCTTTTTCCAAACTTACTTTTCTTTTAGACTGTGTATTTGTAGGTAGACTGTTTTTAGCCGTGATTTGCGTTGCTTTTTCTAAATCTAGAAAACAAAATAAATTTACTTCATTATGAATAACCTCTTTGAGTGTAAATAAATATAAATAATTTATCACACAACTGCACTTGAAGATCACCTAATTCACTTCCATTTAGTATAACAATTCTAAGCTCGAAGTCCAATGCATCTTGAAGCAGCAGGATGGACAAATCAAATCCATGCAATCCTTCTTTAAATTTGCTCTTTTTAAAATTGTGTATTAAATTTATTAAATTATTGGAGTCTGTAGTCCATAACCAATCCTAGCTCTTAGCTTGTCAAAGCTGTAAAGCAGTAAAGTTGTTTTATTCCCTTCTGGATTCCATTCAAAGAATACCTTTCAACAACAGTTATCTAAATCAGTGGCCCCCAACCTTTTTTGTGCCGTGGCCCGGTACTGGTATCAGCACGCATGGCAAGGCGAGCCGAGCGACCGGCCAGCCTTCCGTCCCCCGCTTCTCCCTGCCACCTTCAACTCCTCCTTTGTACCTTTGTCGATGGGCTTCGGGACGGCTTCGGGACGGTCGCTCGGCTCGCCTTGCCTTGGGTGCTGAAAGAATCCTCGTGCCTTAGTTTTGTTCAAAGCCGCCCCCCCTTCGATGAAACTAAGGCGCGAGGATTCCTTCAGGACCCAAACGCCGCTTTCCAACCAGAAAAGCTCACCGGAAGCACTTTCTCATCAAAATAAGATGGCGGCACCCAGCAAACCGGCGGCCCGGTAGAAAATGTTCCACGGACCGATACCGGTCCGGGGCCCGGTGGTTGGGGACCCCTGATCTAAATTACACAAAGGGCTTACCTGAGAGCTGAAAGCCATTAAGTGTTGTTTATTGGAACAGATTATATACAATCTAAGACCTTATCTACAATGATCATGCAGGTGGTTATGGAATTATTACGTTAGTTTTAAGGATGAAGTCTTATTCTCCCCCTAGTTTGTACTAGCCTAGGTTCTCCATTGAATGGACTTATGGGTTTCCCATTTGCTAAGACACTGAGCAAAGCTATGGCCACTGCCGGTATCCACCTCCACTCCTTCTCCTGTGGGTCAATGATTACAAAACCACTTTCTTCCTATTATAGAGTGGTATATTATTAGACAGTGGCTTTTAAAATAGACCTAGACAAAGTCAGCATTCTACTTTACCTGTAAGGAGCTCATCAATTTGCTCAACTACAAACTTTGCATCTTCCATGCTGAAGCACATGGGTGGCTTAAATTTCAAGACATTCCTGTAAGGCCCATCTGCACTCAGAAGGATCTTCCTTTCTTTCAGCCTAATTAGAAGCAAAAAATTACTTTTGAACACAAAGAAAAATGTGTGATGTTTAATTTTAAAAAATTACAACTACTTTTAATCTGGGTGAATTTAGTAACATTTTGGTGGTGGCAGAGTTTCAGAATATATACATACATGTTCTGTCTCACCTGTGCCAACGAGGTAAGAAGTCCAAGTTTCCAAAGGAATATACACAAACAGACAAGACCAGTAATGACAGGGTTAAATTCCTTTGGCCAGGCCAGTCCTTGGCAGACTCGCACAAGCTGTCTGCCAAGTCCGATAATAAAGCAAGAACATAAATCATGCAGGCTTTCAGGAAACAGGATGCACGGAAGCTCCACAGGAAACACTAAATTAACACGTTGTCCCGAACAAAAATCCAGAGCTAACACACCCACTTTTATTCCCTGTGGGGCGTGTCAGTCTCTCATCTCAGTCTCTGATTTGTCCTTTCTTTCTACGTTGCATTTCACGCTTTTGCCTGCGTCTTTGCCTCGCATCAAACCTACATTCCTCAGTCAGAGGCTCTGATACGCTCTCCTGATTATCTGCCGACACCTGAGGCACAACCAGGGAGGAAGGTAATTCCAAATCCTCTAACAAAGCAGGCTCAGACCTCAGAGCCAAATCCTCCCCTTCCTCATTTTCCAAGTCTGTGTCGTCTAACAAAGCAGGCTCAAACCTCAGAGCCAAATCCTCCTCTTCCTCATTATCCAAGTCTGTGTCCTCTAACAGAGCAGGCTCAAACCTCCGAGTCACAACACATACATACATGCTGTACATTCATACATACTACTGGAAGCATAATAGGAGGAGAATTCATGGGACTTCCATGAATTTTCAGGAAGACATGGGATCTTAAGAATAAGTAGACATCTTACAGCAATAATATATTCAGCAATTTCCCTTTCCTGATGCCTCAACTGCCTAAGGAAGGCAATGCACTCTGTATTTTGGTGGGACTAGTTTCTTGGCAAAGTTAAATAAATAGGTAAAAATGAGCTCCTGCTTGTTAGGGATTTATTTACTTCAGTTTAATATTACATTTTGATAAGATATTTACTTGTAAATGATATGCTGGGCTTCAGCAGTAGCTGGGGTTCTCCTTATTTGATCTTTCACAAGGTCCACACCAATAAATAAGCCAGCACCCCTAAAAACATAATAAAGGACAAATGTAACAGTATGAAAAATCACATTTCACTATTAATAGGTCACTTCATGATAGCTGGGTGTGTTTATATGTGTTTGTCTTTCTGTGTGTGGGCTTGTGCAGGCAACATTGCCAAGTGCTAGGCCCATGGTGCTTTTTCAGGCAGCAACTGGCCTTTCTTGTTTTTTCTTTTTCTTTGAGGATGTTTCACTTCTCATCCAAGAAGCTTCTTCAGCTCCGAGAGAATAGTGGGGAATGGAAGGATTTATATTCCTTGCAGACAGCTGATAATTTGCATCCTTTTAGAGGGTCGTTGAAGCCCTTGGAAGTTTATCTGTGTCCTCAGGGTCATCTGAGTGGTGCTCCTGCTCCCTGTAGTCTGCAATTTTTTTCTTCTGGAAATCCATTCTTATTCCCATACCACTCAAAGGATGTTCATCCCAAATTGTATAGCTAAAAGTCTAGAGATTCTCAGTCACCCAGGTCATGGTTTTCCCAAGTGCTAGGCAGACTCTTCTACAACGATGTCCATGGGGAGAGGGGTCAAAAAAAGTCAAGATGGCAATCACCACCATGCAACTGAACCCCTGCCTCTTTTTCACATGTACCGCACAGAGCACCTTAACTTTTCTGACCCCTTTCTCCAAGGGGATACTTCTGCTTTCCTTTGAATTTGGAGCACCGGCAGGAGCTTCTTAGGCTATTCTTTCTCTGTGGCAACAGGAAGGAATGCCAGAACAGCTTATGTCTAAGAATGTAACATCTGGATATCAATCAAACATTAACTAAATATACACTAGCTTTAACCAACAGAAAGAAAATTTGCAGTGATTAGCCACCCTTGAAAAAGGTTTTCCTTGTTTACCATAGAAATTAAGAGTTCCAACTGGTATCTGTACTAGCAGAACTGGTAAAGAAGCAGTTACTTCTTCAGAAACACAGTTTTTAATCTATGCTGACCTTTAGAAGATAAGCGTCATCATTCTAAACTAGATCTAGAAATTGTAAAATTCTTTCAGCATAGGCTAGATATCTTTATCTTCACCACAACATAACAAATAACTTAGTAGCTGTATCTTGAACTAACTATCTTTTTCTTCATAGTCTTCCAAAGCAGCTTTTTAATCTTGCATTACTTTGGTCAGTCCTAGTTGTTATTAGAGCTCTGAGGGTAGTATGTAACAGTAATGTTTATTTGACCAATGCATAGGTTTTCCTTTATGCTGTTCTGGATGATGGTAATAACCTAAAAGTAAATTTTACCTTACCTGACATCTCCCACCAATGAATGCTTTTTCTGTTGTTCCTTGAGTAGTCCAAAGAGATAGTTTCCAACATGTGTGGCATTACCCTGTAGATCTTCCTGTTCTATTATATCCAAGACAGCCAGACCAATTGCACAAGATACCGGGTTGCCACCAAACTGAAAGCAAGAATAGGATAGCAATTTCAAATATCTCTTTCCCCTAAATTTGACCTTATTTTACCAAGAGCAACTCTATATTTGAAGGGCTGTGAGAGGAAATGGCTTTTTGACAACATTCTCTATTTGAAAGATTGTGTGGTCCAATTTAGAGATGATAAGAATGAAACAGTACAAAGCTAACCTTCAGCATCTCAGTAACGCACTGAGTATGTACACGAATCACTTGATCAGTCTTCATAATTGCCTTATTAAATATTCTACTTCCTTTTAAATCAGGCTGGCTGATTTATATTTTAGTAGCATAAGTACTATAGTTTCCATTTTGGAACACTGTGTATCATTACATACTTGATTTGTATTCTGAGGATCTGAACTTATAATTTAACTATCTGATTATAACACTAAAAGTGATACTCACAGTATTGAAGTACTCTAACCCCGAGGCACTAAAGGCCTCTGCAATTTCTCTTGTTGTAACAACACAAGACATTGGATGGCCATTGCCAATGGGCTTCCCCATAGTGACAATGTCAGGCACAAAGTCTTCCCCTTGCAGCTGGAATGCCCAGAAATTCTTCCCAACTCGACCAAATCCAACTTGGACTTCATCTGCTATGAAAACACCTCCTGCTTTGTGGACAAATCTGAACATTAAAGGAAAAAAACAGTTCAGATATGTCATTATGACTTTAGGTAACCACTGATTTGTGACTTTCTCCCACATGATAAAATGATTAATTATATGAACTTTAAACACAGCACCTAAAAAATTCCTTTGAGATCTGAGAAATGCAAATACTGCTATTGTTATAAAATACATACTGCACTCTTTATTAGAGTGATTCATCAGAGCCTGAAAGGAATCTAGTGGACTTGAAACATTGCCTGGGGCCCAACATACTGCTGGTTTTTAGCTATTGAAAGGCCAAATCAAATGAAAAATTTGAAATTGCTATCTTTGATCAGAAAAATCATGAGGCATATTGTTTATAAAACTATTTCCTCAATATATGCATAAGGGTGCCGGGTCTGGATGCTTTTCTAAATCACTCTTTGTATTATTTACTCTATACATATTCATTCTGGTATTCATTTCAAATTAGTGTGCTATATACATGCTAAAAATAAAACAAGGGAAATATTAAGTGGCATGATAACTCTTCTCAAACATTGTTTCCCTAATTATATACATTACTAGGAACAGTGCATGCTAAGATATTACAGTGAAAAAAAAAAAATCACCGTCATTGTTATTGGATATTTGCCAAAATTTTCTTGTTACAAGTTGTCTATTACTTCAGGGAACAAAAATCACAGCCACAACCCACTATTTCTAAAAAGGTACCAGTGTTTCCCCGAAAATAAGACCCGACTTATATTTTTTTTGCCATAAAAAAAGGCACCAGGTCTTATTAGGATGTTGTCCACTGACTCACCTCACTTGCATGTGTCGCCCCCATCTCCATCCCGCCCCCACCCCCATCCTAGCTTAATTTTTAGCTATGCACCCTGGAGTGAGTGGGATCTTACTTAGGGTTTATTTCGGGGTAGGGCTTATATTGGCTGTAAAAATCAAACTATGACTTACTTTCTGAGTAGGTTATTTTTTTGGGAAAACATGGTAGAATGGGGCATTAAATTACTATTCACCAATCTGGTGCCCTCCATACATGTTGGGACTCTTAGATGCTGGCTATATTGCTATACTGAAAATTGTAGGAAGGCACGATAGTAGATTGGAGAACTGCTGCTAATTGTCCTGCTACAATTAAGCCATTCCACGCACTATACATACTGTGCCACTTTCTGGAAATAGCCTGCAGGTGGAATTATTTGGCCTCCACAACTCTGCATGGATTCAGCAATAAAGGCAGCAATCTAAGTCAGAGAAGATGTTGCAGAAGAAGGTGTTAAAGAAGAAAGAATGGTCCTCAACCTAGTCTTTGCAAATGACCCAATAATTAAATGTAGGCTATCAAAGCAAGGAAAGTAAATGAACAAAGAGTTTGGGCAATTGTATAGATAACTATGAGTAAGGGATGCCCAATTTTTCAATGCCAGGTCAGGCATTCAATTGAATTATTAAATTACCACAAAAATTTATTGAGAAAGTGTTGGACTGATCTTCAAAGTCTACCAACATTTAAGTATCTACTTTAGATGGAATGCCCAAAGAGATTTTACTTCCAGATTATCTGATAAATGATGAGGTTCCATATTTGATTAATCATTTATTATTCCAAATCCCCAAATATCAAAAGAATATTTGGCACGTTCTTTTATTATATATGGCACACTGGAATATCCAGTTGCATCTCCCTTTTTCTTAGCTAAGATACCTAAACATATTGCCTGGGGGGTAATGTTCCACAGAGTGAAATTTTGGACATCCCTGCTTTAGAAAAAGTTCACAAAAAAGAGCCACTTAACAAAAAGAAACCTACATTTAAAAGTAATTCCAGTTGCTGGGAATAAAACAATACAAATAAACACAAAGACATCATGTCAAATCAAGAGTCAGTATCAGCTCTTTGGTAGTCCAGAACATGAAGCTTACGTTTTTCTCTGGTTTTTTTGCCCTCAGCATTAAGCCATTGCTGTCCCCCAAAACTGCCTGCAGTGCACGTTTGCTATTTATCTGACTGCCTCCCACACTTTGCGCAACCCTCCCTGAGAATCTGTAGGTTCCATGGTAGCTGGGCAGGAGGGTCTTCCTGGAAAGAAGGTCATGCGGTAACGTGTAAAGAAGGGCACATAGACTTGAAGAGGTACACTACAGCCAGGCAGTAGAAGATTTCCCATTGTCTGTAAAACGTTATCACAGGTTTACGGCACCAAAACCTATAAAGATATATATGAAAAGGAAGAGAAACAGACAAAGGGAAGAAAATAGAAACTACCTGTTAGATTTTGTTTTTAAAAAACTGGTTAAGGATTTAAAGACTGATAGATTTCTGGACTTTAAGGTAGTTGAGAGAAAATAAGTTAAAAAAATGATGCAGCACTTTTTAGGATTTGGTAAACATCCCTGGAAAGTGTATTATTATCATTATTTATTAGCTTGTTTTTTGTTACAGATGGGCAGTGCTTCGGATCTGATTGGGAAGAATTAGGTACAGAGATGTAGTACCTCCTTGTGAATTATTAAGGCAGTCTTAATCATATGGTTGCTGTGGAAAAGCTCCTACAGTTGCTGTGGAAACCTGAAAATGACACAGCTGCTTTAATGAACTGCAGATAAGTGTTAGATTTGTAGTATAGTATGCTCTAAAGTGCTTCAAATAAAGTAGAAGCAGTGCATATCCTTAATTCTATACATTTAGCTAACTTTAAATTATTAGCTGTTTTAATTTTCCTGTTTTGCTTTTTAGTTAAACACTATGAGTATACTACTTATTGGATCTCCACAAAAAAAAATCAATAATGATTAGTAACCAAAATGAAATTTAATCAGCACTGTCATCTTCATGTAAAGTCTAAAACTCACTGATCAGCTGACGGTTGCATTTTCACTTTTGTTGATCCTTTTGTGATGGTGATTTTTGTACCGTAATTAATTATCTGTTAACAGACAGTCTATTATTCTGAAATTCCTTTTTTAAAATCACTTTAAAATATTTGGAATTGCTGATTTTAAATAGCAATTTTTGCCTCACGTGTATATCAAATCCTTTGGTATTTGCTCAAGTAAGAAGCCTTTCTTACTTGAACTTTTAGTTAACCAGAGTGTTTTATTTTAAACCCAATCATACTACATTGTGTTTTGTTATCCTTTTATCCTTTTGTATTTATTTTGATTGAGTTTGGTGGATAAGGTTTTGTGGTTTCTAATTCTAAATTCTGTTTCACCTTTTTCAGTTAAAATGCTAAACAATTTTAATGATGATTGAGAATCCCAAGAGTTGTAATCTAACAATTTTGGCAAATGCTAGGCTACGGAAGGCAGCTTTATTATATACTATTTTATTATATACTAGTTTTCCTTTAGGTATTACAACCAAGTTAATGTACTATTAAGTAACTTGCTGGAAGCTCGGTGAGACAGATGATGACTTACTGGAAGCCCTTTTCTAAGATCAGAAGTAAACTGGAGTGTAAAACATATTTCTGGGGCATCCATGGAACCATACTGATTTTCTGAATTCAGTATTATCTTAAAGAAGACATGTAGTGAAATTATTGGGCTTTCAATATAATCTTCTTGTAGTATGGAACTATCTGTTGATTTTCTTCATTTATTTTTTACATTTTGAACTGCCCATCTCCCTCAAAGAGGGACCTTGGGGAGTCCCTCTTAAATTAAATTAAATAATAAACCACCTGTAGTTTGAAAACAAAATGCTGTGGCTTTTAAAGGAAACAAGCTTCAGATGCTTCTTTTTCTAATCAGTTTGGAAAATTGCTTAACTTCTTTTCAGCAGTTAGGAACCTTTGGATCCATAAGTCTGAAAACACCAGGTGAGTTTTCCTTAATCATTAGTGAAGAAATTTTAAATACAAGTCTGGGGAGTGTCCATAAAATATTCAAACGTAAGAACAGCGTATGAAAGTTAAAATTTTAGAAAGAGACAAGGTTGGTTAAATACCGCTAACATTAACACTGTTAACATTTAATTAAAAAAGAGGAAGGGAGGGCTTTCAAAGCACTAGCCAGCCCTGTGTCTGTGTATTCTTTGGGCTCCCCACATGAGGCTGCAGAGTCATGTTTTGTCTTCTTTTCAGAAGCCCAGGAGAATGGGGCCTGCCTCACCTTCACGGGGAAAATATTCCAAAGGGTGGGCGGGGGGGGGGGGGGGGGGACAATGACTCTTTGACTCTTTAAAGCAGTGATCCCCAACCTTTTTTATGCCGCGGCCCGGTATCCCCAACCTTTTTTATGGCGCGGCCCGGTACCGGCATCAGCTGGGCGCCGCCATCTTGTTTTGATGAAAAAGTGCTTCCGGTGAACTCACCGGAAGCACTTTTTCATCAAAACAAGATGGCGGCGCCCAGCAAACCAGCGGCCCGGTAGGACTTGTTCCACGGACCGGTACCGGTCCGTGGACTGGTGGTTGGGGACCCCTGCTTTAAAGAACTCTTTAAGTTCTTTAACTGACAGGGTATGTAACATACCTTCCTTTCTGACTGGGTGAGATGGGCTGAAGTAATGGGAATTTTAATTTTGCTACAAGTTGCACACTCCATGCATTCCAATTCATGTTTAGGTATAGGTTTAGGATAAAGGATATCCATTCAAATACTGCTTACAATTCACAGATGGAAGCTTTGTGGGTCTTCAAACTATTATATTAGTTTGCAAAACAGGATCCCTCAGCATAAATAGAGAAAACAGACTTTTGCTAGGATACTTCCTGTTCACAGCCACGAAAGATATCAGGAAGGTAAAGAGATGGATGGGAAATCCAGATTTATTAAAACCATGTCGGTCCTCATTTAAAACAGTGCTTGTAAAACTCACAAATATAAATTAAAGGGGATAGGGAATACCTTAAAATCCAGAATCTGTTTAAAAAATGAAAGACATTTCAATTATATAAGATAGTTAAGTGGTCTTAATCAGGATGAACATTGATAGATGGGGAAGAAGCAAGAGAAATCTTTTTTAAAAAAAAAGTTCAAGAGCTAATGTACCTTATGGCCATTCTTTTGAGCTTTTTCGATAATATTTCTCACATCATCAGCATATGCACCTGCTGGATCTTCATGATCTTCTCTATACTTCCCTCTGTAAATATCTGGGGAAGGGGCCTAAAAGGCAAGACAAATCTTTGAAATATTCATTTCAATGCAAATTCTCTTCCAAAAGACATAGCAAAGCTATACTTAACAACCACTAACCTTTCTCTCTGCGCATATGAGTCTATGCAAAGTACATATTGAGTTTTTATTTTTAAGGCCTTTTACATGAAAATAATACCAGATTGCTTGGAAGCCTGCCCTGTTTTAGCTCAGTAGATCCAACCTCTATGTAGGCTTATGCAGGAATCGACAGTAAGAATATGTTGGTAGGGAGAACTTAGAAAACTTGAAATATAATTAATACTCACCACATGTACAAATTCCTTTTTGGCCTCTTTTCCCAGCTGATTAAATTTATATGGACTGATATCAATCAAGGAAGTCACGTGACCATGATAAGCACTAAAAAAAAATATGAGTACAGTGTGATTCAAAATACAGGAATGATGATTAAGGTTTTGGACTTGGATTGGGAAGACTCAATCTAAGGTCCAATCTCATTATGCACGTGCAGCTGACTAGAGGACCTTGGGCCACTAATATGTCTCAGTTCATTTCTCCTCACAGAGTTCTTAGGATAACATTAGAGACCTCTGTGTGTGTGTCATTTTTGGACTACCTGAGAGACCAGGCTGAAGACAGATCACCATGGAGTAAATCTATGTGGTTGCTAAGAGTAAATACCAACTTGATGAATGAATCTGTCTATATCTATCTATCTATCCATCCATCCATCATAGTCAGTCACTCTATCTATCTATCTATCTATCTATCTATCTATCTATCTATCTATCT